ATATTTTCTTTGAAGTTCTCATAAGGAAGTACAGGCATGTTTAAAAAGTGGCACACAGGTACTAACGATACATGGTGACAAAATGACATATAGCACTGTATTAGTGAAAGACATCTCAAACTTAACTTGTCTGAACTAAACTCCTGATTTTCCTAAAATGCCTTTCCTGATATCTTCCTATATCTTGCTATCATCTTTCTAGTTGCATGGCTAGAGTCATTCTTGACAAATTCTCTCAGCAAATGCTCTCAGGTATCACTGACACAGTATTTATAACCAACCCAACTATCCATCTCACTTGCCACCATCACAGTCCAATCCACAGCATTGTCTCACTTGTTTTATGCTATAGTTCTCTCACTAGTATCTTCATTTTTATTCTTTCCTCATATGGTTCAAAATTGGGAAGGGCATACGCCAGGGATGCATCCTATCTCCATACCTTTTCAACCTATATGCAGAACAGATTATCCGGGAGGCTGGGCTCTATGAGGAGAAATGTGGGGTCAAGATTGGTGGACGATTTATCAACAACCTGCGTTATGCGGATGACACAACCCTGCTTGCTGAAACTGAAGAGGACCTGAAGCGCCTGCTGCAGAGTGTCAAGGACTGCAGTCTACAATATGGATTGAGGCTCAATGTCAAGAAGACAAAGATTCTCACCACTGGACCAATTGGCAGCATCAGGATGGATGGTGAAGAGATTGAGATTGTACACAGCTTTAGTTTGCTTGGCTCCATAGTCAACAGTTTTGGCACCAGCAGCCAGGAAATTAAAAGGTGCATTGCCATGGGAAAGTCTGCTGTTAGGGACCTCTCCAAAGTGCTGAAGAGCAATGGTGTCTCTTTGGAGACTAAGGTGCGTCTGATACAGGCCATGGTCTTCGCAATCACTTGTTATGCATCAGAGAGTTGGACAATGACCAAGGAGGATAGAAGGAGAATTGATGCCTTTGAGCTGTGGTGCTGGAGAAGAGTATTGAGAATACCATGGACTGCTAGGAAAGCAAACAGATTTGTCCTGGAAAGGGTTAAACCGGGTGGCTCCTTGGAGGCAAGGATTCTGAGGCTCCGTCTAACATACATTGGACATGTTGAGAGGAGAGACCGGGCCTTAGAGAGGGACATCATGCTTGGGAGGGTGGAGGGACGGCACAGGAGAGGAAGGCCCTCTATGAGGTGGATTGATTCAGTGACTGGGATAATTGGGATGGGAGTGTCAGAGACAGTGCGATTGGCACAGGACAGAGTGGAGTTTAGGGCTGTTGTACATAGGGTCGCTATGAGTCGCAAGCGACTCGATGGCCCATAACAACAACAACAACATTCTGGCAACGTTTAGTATTTCCGCAAGAATGATTGAATTTGAAAGAATAAGGCTGATCAAATTTCAAATACTTGAATTCCTCATAGGCTTCCCACTAAGTACAAAATTCTTTCAATGACTAGTCAATGTGCTGCAGGATTTGGTCCCAGGTGTCTCTCTTACCTGTTTCCTATATACTACATACGACATATTCCTACTTATTCACTGGATACTCCCGCTTCGTTTTCCTTAATGTTCTTCCACTAAACCAGGTGCCTCTTCACTGTTTGCTTCTTCCTCTGATGGGAAAGCTCATCTCTATAGTTTCACTCTCATTCTCTCATAATCATCTTTAATCAGATGTCATCTTCTCAAAGATAACTTCTCAGCCTTAGTTTTAAACCACTTTCATTCCATCCCATCACCCTTTAATCTTTATTTTCTCCACAGAATTTATGACCATTTAGTTGAGAATATATTTTTCTTATACTGGTTATCATCTGTTTCCCTGAGACAAATTATAAGATTTTTGAGAACAGAGATTTTTCTCTCTTTTGTTTTGTGTTTTATTTCTACTTTATAAGATAAATTCAGAGTGCTTGTTGGAGGCAAAGATGACAGAACTTTGTCTAACAGACTTTGGGCATGTTTCTACTAGAGACTATTCCTTGGAGAGGAACATCATGCTTGGAAAGGTGAAGCATCAGAGAGGAAGACCTTTAACCAGATGCAGTGAGGGCAGCTAAGGGCTCAAGTGTGTCAGAGATCGTGAGGATGACACAGGATAGGACAGGGGCCACATCTGTTCTTCATATGGTTGCTATGGGTCACACTTGACTCAATAGCACCTAGCAATAACAATAACATAAATCCTTGTACACAGTAGATGTTCAACAAATATCTCTTGAATGCCGATAAAAGGAACTATAATTATGTTTATTTAAACAATGAACAATCATAAATCTACAACAACAACAAAGATAGTTCCCATCAAGTCAATTTTTACTCTTGGCCACCAGATATATCTTTTGTTTCAATACTGTTAAATATTAAAAAAAATTGTTAAGAATAATAATCCTAACTTTTATTTAAAAAAGAAAAGAGGAGATTTATACCCCTAAACTAAAAATCAAACCCATTGCTCTCAAGTTGGTTCTAACAAATAGGGATCTTTCATTGGGTTTCCAAACTGTATGTGTTTACAGGAAGAGAATGTCTATCTGCAGCAACTAGTGGATTGAAACCTCTGACCTTTCAGCTGGTAGTCTGACATATTATACACCCCCTAGAAATCTCCTAAACTAAACTCACCAACTCAACTCGTTGTAATCATCTGGGAACTGATTCATAGTTGCATCATAACTGAGTCACTGAGTTTCTGAAGCTGTACATTGTATGGGAGGAGATTGTCCATCTTTCTCCTGCAGAGCAGTTGGTGAATTTGAACTATGAAAGAGTTACAACCTTTGGGTTAACAGTACAACTCCCTATGGATGTATTATGCCACCAGAACTCCCTACACTAAAAGGCAATTGCTTAATCAGCTACTAAGAATTGGCTCCAGTGTCCTAGAGGTAAGGAGTTGTACTGCCAACCCAAAGGTACACCGTTTGGGTCCACCAACTGTTGAGAGAGAGGTGGGGGGAGATGGGCAACCCCTCACTATGCAATTTACAGCCTCTAAAAGCCCACTGAAAGGTCAGCTATGAGTAGGTTCCAACTCAACAGCAATGAGTTATGTTGAATTGAAGAAATGATCAAGTTTCTGACACTACTTCTGCTTATAGGCTGAGAGAGATGCAGTAACTCTCGCTATTTAAAATTAATATAGTCTAAGGACTATATTTTAGAAGCAGGAGTGGCATCTACATCCTAAACAACATGCCTCTGGAAACCCTATGAACTTTGATAAATGACAATAGTTATAGTTCTAGAAAGATTTCAGGCCCTTTATTCATAGTGTTGCTATGAATCATGCTGCACTCAATGGTAATCAACAACAACAACAATAGTTTGAGGAAGAAAACAGTATCCCTTCAAAAACAATTGGAAAGCAATTTATGAGAGCACGTAAACTATAAGTAAGTCCAAAAGTCATTAAGACTGTCGTATTCAGGAAAATTGAGTTGTAATAAGACGTCATAACTCTTTTCAGTTTGTAACATCTTCGTTTTCCAAATAAGAAGATTGTAATAGATGATGTCTTGGCTCACTAGCATTCTTAACTATACAGGCCTACTATTTTGTAGACAAATGAACTCAATAGAGAGACATTATGTTGCAGAGACAAATCAGATTAGCTGTTAGGGTCAACCCTCCTGGCTCTCAGCTGGGTTAGATCTCTCAGCCTCCTTAAAAGCCAGGCTGAGAGAGCACCAGAAATCATAATTAAAAACAGACCTAGATCAGATGACTTCCCAATGACCTCTGCTGAACATTACCTCATAAAGATGTTTAGTACTCTATTTAACTATTGGTACATTAAGGGATTATTGTAAAATAAAAATCTAAATGTTATTGAAATTGGCAATATTTTTAGGAAATTGGTCATGTTCTTAAGCTATTTTGTAACAGCTCATTGTCCTCTGGTGGTGTTTATCTGTTTCACTGGTATATGAGGTGTAGTTTCCTCCAAAGAAATCACAGGTTCTTCTAGGTTTGAGATCATGGCTTTTTTTGTCCCTGTCTTTGCTGCATACAGTGTTTTATTGATTAATATTGCATGAATGGACATGTTTATAGACCCTCACAGAATGCCTGCTTTCCTCAGTTATAAACTAAGCATCACTTCACACCTATACAACACAAATTAGATCATGGATAGAGTCCTTAGTGTCTGTCCTTGATGCTGTTAGCAAACTATAGAGCAAAATATACCTTGCACAGCACTATGATAGACCAAAAAGGAGCTCCAGTGGCATAAAAGTTTATCTTTGCAGCATAGAAAACCATAGAAAATACTGAAAAAGAGGAGAACACACTCTTATACATTGAAGAAAATATTTCTATATGTTACAGTGCTAATAAGTCTGTTTTATGACAGTTACTAAGTAAAATGAAAAAGGACCTTTTACAGGTTCACCAAGCCCCAGAAAGACCTGAAAGCAAATGCTACATCCTGTTGTGTGGCTCCAGGGGACAGCTCATGGACCACCATTTGTACTTATGGATGAGAGTAGAGTTTCTTAGCATCCATACCTCTGCTGGAGGTTCAGTTATGAATTGATTCCAACTTGAAAGCACATCATAATAATGCCAACATACATGTATAGTGGAGGTGCGGCCAATGGTGTTATAGCTTACTTGCTTCTGACTTGCAAATAAAAGTAAACCATGGCAAAGCAAAAGGAATCAAATCAGCATTTCCACAGTGCTGTGAATAGCATTTCCTAACCGTGCCTAATATATAAACCTCTTCCCTCTGCCTGGAATAATACATACCTCTACTCTTCTCTCACTTCAATGATCTTTTCTAATCACTTACTTCTTCAGGGAACAAGATAGTCTTTCCAGAATATATAAAAATGAACCTGGAGACATACACACATTCACTTTTGTGTGGCTATCTTCTAACTCAAGATGGCAATTTGGGTCTGTAGCCCTGACATTTTCCCCTCTCCAACGACAAGCTGTGAAAGAGCAGGAGGATAGAGCCTAATCTCTAAGCTGTGATTTTGTGAGCACAAGTTACCTGTGCAGACTTTTTTAAAATTGGGATTTTCCAGAAGGTGTCCCGGTAGGCGGCACTGGAACCGATGTTGCCAGAACTCAGGGAACCAGGGATTCCTTGTGTTAGTTTCCAGCCTCAGTTTCAGGAAATAATCATCGAAGGAGCGGACTTCTGGAGACTGCAGCTTTATGGTGATTCCCCCGTTGGCTTCCACCTCATAGCCTTCAATGACTTCATCTCTGTCTGCCCAGCCATCACTACAAATGCAGGGAACAGGATGGAGAGAGAGAAAGTCAAACATCTCACAAATAGAGCTCTTTGTTTTCTAGAAATGAAATGATTCTGTACAAATTACTGTCTACTTTAAGGCAGCAGTACTAATGAGGATATTTGGCAGATCAGAAAGTTATGAAAACTAATACCCAGGGCTTTCAGTTGGTTTGTCTTCAACAACAAAAGTGATAGTGAAGATGATGTCGATAGTAGCTATTAGAACTAACATTCACTGCGCACTTACAGGTCAACAGATTATCTCCTAAACACATTTTGATGCATTGTTTTATTTAGTCCACACACCAACCCTGAGAAGTATACTCTCATAATGCCCTTCTTACACATATATGGGAAGGTGAAGGTTAAGTAGTTTGCTCTAAGCACAGTTCCAGTGAATAAAAGTCTACTCACATCACTTAACTACTATACCCACTGCTTACTTAACATTCAAGAGGTGTGTGTACTCCCTCTTTTCCTATGATTTCCTGGGAAACAGACTCTGAGATGGAGATGTGTTCACTGAGGCTATTCCTTGGGAAACACCATGTGAGGGAGTGATGGAGGAACATGGGATTGGATACATGGAGAAACAGAAATACGTGACGGTTCTGACAGATGCTTGACCCCATACTACGAGAAGTTCTAGAACTGGGAAGATCCTTCATATTTTTCTCAAATAGAAGGGCTCAGCTTAGTTCTCACTTCAGCTAGTCATTGAATGGGAACAGTCCTGGGGACAGACTACAATCTCAGAAGAGGCAAACTCTCTTGGGTTAAAAAAACAACAATACTGTAGCATACCCCTGAGAACAAATTATAATGGTCCAGACAGATGAAGTAATGACTATGTTAGATCAGACGAGGGTGAGAGGGTGGTTTGGGAGGGACACTACAGTATCCACTATACCCTCTTCTGTATCTGGATACATCTCAGAACTCCCAAGATGATAAGTGTGAGCAAATAAATGCTGGCGTAATGCTGCTGTCCAAGTATAGGTTTCACATTAGCACAATCAAATGTTCTGGGATTGTGCTAATGCAAAACCTACACTTGGACTAAGAGGCAGTTGTCAGAACAGAGTAAGGAGACCCTACATGGTTCAAAATCAAGAAAGGGGTTCGTCAGGGATGTATTCTGTCTCCATACCTTTTCAATCTGTATGCAGAACAGATCATCCGAGATGCTGGGCTATTCAAGGAGGAATGTGGCATCAGGATTGGCGGAAGAGGCATCAGCAACCTGTATTATGCAGATGACACAACCCTGCTTGTTGAAATTGAGGAGGACCTGAAGCGCTTGTTGCAGAAGGTCAAGGACTGCAGTCTTCAGTATGGATTAAAGCTCAATGTCAACAAAACAAAGATTCTCACCACTGGGCCAATTGGCAGCATCAGTATGGATGGTGAAGAGATTGAGATAGTTAACAGTATTCATTTACTTGGCTCCACAATCAACACTCTTGGTAACAGCAACCAGGAAATCAAGAG